AAGTAAAAATTGTAATCAAATAAGAAATCAAATAGGAAGCTTTATTCCCATATATCAAGCATATTTGCTTGAACTCGTCTTTGCAGGTAGAATGGAATCTGTACTAAACATCAAGATTACACGTAGTAAAAATTTTAAAACGAAGTTTTCAGTGCATTTTTCAATAATATAGAAGATTTAGGCTACTTCCTTTTAAGAAGTTCGAGGAAACTCTATCTTAATACAAATGTGGCGGGTAGTTAAAGAAAAAACAAATTGTAAAAATCAATTTTGGGGACAAATTTAAGAGCGTCATATTACTTTTATCTCTTCTATGTTAGAAGAAACTTTCATTTGAAAGGAGACTTCAGTTTTTGTAAAGAGATAATAATCGCAAGGAGACAAATTTGGTTAAACACGCGAAATGATTGTATACACATACTTATTTTCAGGACAGAGTGGCTCAGAGAAATTGTTACTGACCGGTGGGAAATTGCGTTGGTACTTACGTCTTGTCTAAAACACCTTAGAAAAAGTCTCCAAGTTTTCAGAATGTGCCAGACTCTGGCAATGATCAGCATGACAGATGTTTAGGCAACCAATGCACATAATAATCCCTTCAGTCGAGCAATGTTGCCATTTTCGCATACTTTCTTTTTGTTATATTCCAAGGTCCAACTGTTTTTATATATAAATGGTTTCAAAAGAATAAATTGAATTTAAATACAAATTTAATTAATTCAGTTTTAAAATATGAGCTTGTGGATTTTGCCAGCAGTGAAAGAAATACAGAATTTGGCTGAAAAGTTTTCAAAAGGGAACAAAGAGGAAATGCATAATCCAGATAACCGCTGTTGCCAAGGTTTGCACGAAAAAGGGCATTTTGTTTCCGTTCACTTTTCAAACTGTTGTCACCAAATATTATCGCCATGCATTATATTTAAAGAAACTAAATAATGAAGAATCTGCATGAATGTTTCTCGCATTGTGGAAAAACGACGGTACCTAGAGCCATCGGATATTGAATAACGTAGTCCTCCAACCGAACATGGGCACTTGGAAGCCAGAATTTTAAATTTTAAATTTGTTTTATTATCTATTTCAAATTTTGTAAAATTTTAACGAAATTTTTATTATCAAACTCAACGATTTCAAAGCGAGCAATAGCAACAGCACCGTACGAAAAAAAAAAAAAAAAAAAAAAAAAAAAAAAAAAAAAAACATTTTTATCTCCAGCGCGCCAGATTGTGTATCGATAATTCTAAAGCTATGCTATTTATATATATTTAAATATTTTGCTATATTTAAATATTTTGTGATATTGCTGTTGAATTGAAATTTATGTGGTTTAAATGCGAAGAACATGATATTTAATAAATAAAGGTATCACACAAAATATTAAAAAATGCCCTTTTGGGCGTAATATAAATCTAAAAACGTTCAGATTTTTAGTTTTATATTTAAGATATAATAAAATACGATGGCTGCGCTAAGAAATGATTGGCGACCTCAGAGTTATCTATTCTAAATTTTATGTTCTAAGTTTATCCTTCCTCCCAAAGACTTTTAAATATATGTTTATTCTAAGTCCTATGTTTACATAAAATTTTATTTTGCTTTATAAAAAAGGGCCTTTGATGATATTAATAGGAGCCTTTTCAAATATAAGCAATAGCTTTCTTCAAAAATTTATTACGCATTAATGCCACGGACCTTTGCTACATAGAGAGAAGAAAGTAGAAATCTTGTATTTTAATAAATTTTGTGTTGTTTAATATTTTTTAGTAGGAGACAGCATATTTTATTCACAATACTTTTGGCGTATTTTTTTGATTTACGCAGAAGTATTGAATATGATGATGCATGATTTTGAAACAAGCAAACAAATTTTTCTTTTTATATAAAATGAAATAGCAGACGATAAAGTAAAGACGTTAAATTTGTTCTTAAATTCTCTGACATGAGCACCATATGACTTCATTGTACGGCTACTCAATTATACACATTTTTGGATACACTGTATTTAAACTTATTTCCTCGAATTTCATTAGAAGTATATTTGTAATTCAATCAATTCAGACTTCAGATCGCGGCAAAGAAAAAATGCATAAAAGCTCAATTAAAAATTATAAACTACAGAAAAACCGAAAACAAAAAAGAAAGTTAAAAAAAAAATTAGAATTAAAATTAAAGTTTCTTCGCAGAAACAAACAATTCAGGCAACGGGCAGAAATAAAAAATTTTCAATGAAGAAATCGAAAGTTAACATTTGGTTACACTGGTCAAAAAGACACTGAAGTAGCAGCACAACCTGACGTAATTCACTATTCTACTAAGTTTCAAAACGTAACTAAACGGCAGCCTCGTTAGACTTAGCGACACGTAAGCTTTTAAATTCTTGATAATCCAACAACTATTCCATGAAGATGAACTAAAGACATAAAAATCTTAACCGGAACATAAAAACAACATAATTCAAGCTTTTTAAAGCAAAAGATGCACATTTTACCATCATAAGAATAAAAAAACTAGACTCACCAAGCCGGATAAGAGTACGGCAATATATTGTTGCGTGCTTACGGGTTCGTAATAGATTGAAAGCACAAGTCCGATAATAAGTGAATAATTTTTTTTTTTTAAAGAAATATTTCAGAGCTGTGGAATTTCCCACATAAATATTCGTACAAGTGTTCACAATATCACACAGTATAATCAGTAATTACACTTCAAACTATTAAGAACATTAAACACCACGCAATGCAAAGTTCATGTAAAGAGAAAGCTAATCCGAGCTCAAGTTGAACTGGCACCAATAACGACAGCAGCTAACTAAACAACTGAATGCTCTCTCTTCAACTTTAAATAGTTTTCAACCAGCCGCCGAGATATCTAGTACTTTCTGCTTCTCAAAATTACCGGAAAGCAATATAAATGTTGAACTACGGTTACAGCTAATATAGTGGTCAATAACATTTATTCAGTCACAATACTTATTACGGTGAAACAGGGATCAGTCCAAAATTTGGCAACTTTTGTAGATTTCTAGCCAAAACCGTTGTCAGCTTCGCGAAATCTTGCCAAATTACTGAGATACCCTTTTACTCAATGTTTGATGCACTTGTCACTGTATTCGCACTTTTCTTGCATAACTTTCTCTTAAAATTTGTCTAGAGCTACATTACACATAAAAATACAATTTTACTTATAATTTCACTAAAATCACTTAAGTACAAAATTCGTAACATTGCCCCTCTTCCCAACGACTACACGTGCCGGACAGTACAATCCCTGGACAGGAAGTCATACTTACAACTAAGGCATCAATGCAATAATAAACATTACAATACAATAACAAACAACATAAACAATAATTGCAATAAGTAACTTAAAACAAATCAAATAATAAATCAATATATTAGTCCACAAATTAACAAATTTAGAAGCAAATAGGACCATAGTTTAATACGCTTTACATTATATACAATACATACTATGGCTGTAGTTTGGACATAACCTGTCGCAGGAACGACTTTAGGCTTAGAATTTGATTACTTGCGGATCCAAACGACGACGCCGTTCAGCCTCTTAGCTTCGAAGCCCAACCTTTGGCTTTCGGGAAGAGTCTGAAGGATATCCGCTGCGTCTGCCTCAGAGAAGCGGCGAGATGACAGGCCTTTGCTTGGGAATCTTTTCCGTTCGCTTCCGCCCCTATAAAAGATTGTGTCTTTATACACTTGCCAAGACGTATTCTTATTTATCTGCCATAATGTTCTCTTAAAATTTGTCTCGCGCTGCAGTACACAGAAAAACAGACAGAACACTTATAATTCTACTAAAATTACTTAAGTACAAAATTCTTAACAATATATATATATAGTATATAAACACAACTCGCACACACACGTTTCGTGCAGCCGATTGCAACCGCAACAAAAAAGAGACATGAAGAACTCAGAACTATGTATTATTGCAATCCCATGTACAAAAATAAAATTAATTAAATTGCATTCGATAGCGCTCGAAATTGATATTTTCGTTGAAATATGATACCCGAAATTTTTAGCGATTAGAGTATTTCCTTTACTCCGTACAAGGGAGTAAAAAGAAAAGAAAAAAATTTTAATTATTAAAAATTAATAATATTTATAAATTTAAAAAATAGCTTTTCATTTTTGTGTTATTGAAAAATATTCACTACGCATCATTGGTAAAAATAAGAATAAATGCCATATGAATAATTCTCAGTAAAAGTTTATTTAAAATATTAAGGTTCAAAACAATTGTTGCAATTCATTGAAAATTATAACAAAATGCATAAACCATATTTGGCGATATAATAACTTAAATGTCACATTTTTAGCTTAATCGAACAATCACCTCCAGCCGGCTATTAGTGGCTTAGAAATGTACCTTTGAGATGGTAAAATTTTCATTAATCAATAAAATTTATGAGTTCGGAAAGATTCTTTTATAAAAGCGTAGAATTACGCATTTAGATACCTAAAGCGTTCACTGGATTTAATCTTAAAAAACAAAGCACAGTTGTAATTCGATGCCCCACAATTTTACTAAAATTTAAATGAACTTATGATAAATTGATCCCATCAACGGCTGATCAGTAAAGTCCTGAACACTGTAGTTCCTGCATGGGTTCGAGTCCAAGCAAACGGACTAGCTGCATGGGTGTTTCCGTGTTTTTATCCTTGTGTAACATGTATATGAGCCGGTTTCCCATAGAAAATCTTCCACAAAGGCTATTAAATAACTAATGAATTTTACAGCAATTAAATAAACCAAAATCAAAATTAAATGATCTTAAAATTGCTTAAATATGCTTTATGGAGACTGAAAAAGGCGTAAATATTTTTATGTAGAAAATAAATTTCATATAGCCCCTCTTTTTTAGGCGCACACTCTGCCGTACTAACACAACGCACACCACCCCACACGCAATCACACAACAAATACAATTACAAAAGAGTAAACACGTCTTAAAATTACAGCTTAGGTTATGTTTTTAGGTGACATTACTCAAGAAACACAAAGACTAGTGGCTGAATTGCAGGAGGAACAAGATGAAGTAGGAAAAATAGAAGAAATAATTAGCAACCTTAGAGATGAAGAAAGAAAAGCCATTACACGCGGACAAATAGCAAGCACAGGAACAGGAGCAGGAGCTGGAGCTGGACAAGGAACAGGACTTGGACAAAGCGGACCAAATGAATTATATAATTACCAATTCCTTGCTCAAAGCAGGGGATTTGGATTAGGCTCAGGAGCAGGGGCTGGTGCTGGAGCAGGAGTTGGGGCAGGAGCCGGTGCTGGCATAGGAGCAGGAGCGGGAGTAGGAGTTGGTGCTGGTTTAGGAGCAGGAGTTGGTGCAGGCATAGGAGCAGGTGTTGGTGCTGGAGCAGGAGGGGGTGCAGGTACAGGAGCTGGAATTGGCTCAGGCGCAAGAGCTCCCTATTTCCAATTGCTTCGTCGACGCCTAGGATTCCAATCAGGCAATGGAGGAGGTTTAGGCTTAGGCGCAGGAGCTGGTGTTGGTGCTGGCGTAGGGGCCGGAGCTGGTGCAGGCTTAGGAGCAGGAGTTGGTGCTGGAGCAGGAGTTGGTGCTGGAGCAGGAGTTGGCGCTGGAGCAGGTATTGGTGCTGGCGTAGGAGCAGGAGTTGGCGCTGGCCTAGGAGCTGGAGCAGGAGTTGGTGCTGGCGTAGGAGCAGGTGCTGGTACTGGGTTAGGAGCAGAATTTGAAGCTGAATTAGAAGCAGAATTTGGTGCTGGCTTAGGAACAGGACTTGGTGCTGGCTTAGGAGCAGGTCTCGGTGCTGGGGCAGGAGCTGGCTTAGGAGCAGGGCTTGGTGCTGGCTTAGGGGCAGGAGTTGGTGCTGGAGCGGGTATTGGTGCTGGAGCAGGTGTTGGTGCTGGAGCAGGTGTTGGTGCTGGAGCAGGTGTTGGTGCTGGCTTAGGAGCAGGAGCTGGCGCTGGCTTAGGAGCAGGACTTGGTGCTGGTTTAGGGGCAGGAGCTGGATCTGGAGCAGGAGTTGGTGCTGGAGAAGGAGTTGGTGATGGCTTAGAAGCAGAACTTGATGAATTAGAAGCAGAATTTGGTACTGGCTTAGGAACAGGACTTGGTGCTGGCTTAGGAGCAGGACTTGGTGCTGGTTTAGGAGCAGGAGCTGGTGCTGGGGCAGGTGTTGGTGCTGGCTTAGGAGCAGGAGCTGGTGCTGGGGCAGGAGTTGGTGCTGGGGCAGGTGTTGGTGCTGGCTTAGGAGCAGGTGTCGGAGCTGGGGCAGGAGCTGGCTTAGGGGCAGGACTTAGTGCTGGCTTAGGAGCAGGTGTCGGAGCTGGGGCAGGAGCTGGCTTAGGGGCAGGACTTAGTGCTGGCTTAGGAGCAGGAATCGGCTCAGGCTTAGGAGCTCCCTATTTGCAATTCCTTGCCGAACGCTATGGATATACATCAAGCATAGGAAGAGGTTTAGGCTTAGGAGCAGGAGCTGGTGTTGGCGCAGGTGCTGGTGCTGGAGTAGGCGCTGGCCTAGGAGCAGGAGTTGGTGCTGGCGCAGGAGCAGGAGTGGGTGCTGGCGCAGGAGTTGGGGTTGGAGCAGGACTTGGTGCTGGAGCAGGAGCAGGAATTGGTGCTGGCTTAGGAGCAGGGTTTGGTGCTGGTTTAGGAGCAGGACTTGGTACTGGCTTAGGAGCAGGACTTGGAACTGGCCTAGGCGCAGGTGTTGGTGCTGGCGTAGGAGCAGGTGCTGGTGTAGGGGCAGGAGCTGGGGCGGGAGCAGGGGTTGGTGCTGGAGCAGGTGTTGGTGCGGGTGTAGGAGCAGGAGTTGCCGCTGGCGTAGGAGCAGGTGTCGGTGCTGGCTTAGGAGCAGGACTTGGTGCTGGCTTAGGGGCAGGAGCTGGGGCTGGAGCAGGTGTTGGTGGTGGAGAAGGTATTGGTGATGGCTTAGAAGCAGAACTTGAAGATGAATTAGAAGCAGAATTTGGTGCTGGCTTAGGAACAGGACTTGGTGCTGGCTTAGGAGCTGGAGCTGGTGCTGGGGCAGGAGTTGGTGCTGGGGCAGGTGTTGGTGCTGGCTTAGGAGCAGGTGTCGGTGCTGGGGCAGGAGCTGGCCTAGGGTCGGGACTTGGTGCTGGCTTAGGAGCAGGAGCTGGTGCAGGAGCAGGAGCTGGTGCAGGAGGAGGAATCGGCTCAGGCTTAGGACCTTCCTATCAGCAATTCCTTGCCCAACGCTATGGATATAGATCAGGCATCGGAGGAGGTTTAGGCTTAGGAGCAGGAGCTGGTGTTGGTGCAGGTGCTGGCGCTGGAGTAGGCGCAGGAGTTGGCGCTGGCGCTGGAGCAGGAGTTGGTGCTGGTGCAGGAACAGGTGTTGGTGCTGGAGCAGGACTTGGAGCTGGATTAGGAGCAGGAATTGGTGCTGGCTTAGGAGCAGGACTTGGTACTGGCTTAGGAGCAGGAGTTGGTGCTGGCGTAGGAGCAGGTGTTGGTGCTGGAGCAGGACTTGGTGCTGGCGTAGGAGCAGGAGCTGGCGTAGGAGCAGGTGTTGGTGCTGGAGCAGGAGCTGGTGTTGGCCTAGGTGCTGGTGCTGGTGTAGGGGCAGGACTTGGAGCTGGATTAGGAGCAGGAATTGGTGCTGGCTTAAGAGCTCGCTATTTGCAATTCCTTTCTCAAAGTTTAGGATATGGATCAGGTTTTGGAGGTGGTTTAGGCTTAGGAGCAGGAGCTGGAGCTGGAACAGGTGTTGGTGCTGGCTTAGGAGCAGGTGCTGGGGCAGGAGTAGGAGCTGGCTTAGGAGCAGGAATTGGTGCTGGCCTAGGAGCAGGAGTTGGTGCTGGCATAGGAACTGGACTTGGAGCTAGTGCTGGAGGAGGAGCAGGAATTGGCTCTGGCTTAGGAACTCGCTATATGCAATTCCTTTCTCAACATCTAGGATATGGATCAGGTAATGGAGGTGGTTTAGGCTTAGGAACAGGAGCTGGTGCTGGGGCAGGTGTTGGTGCTGGCGTAGGAGCAGGAGTTGGTGCTGGAGCAGGTGTTGGTGCTGGTGTAGGAGCAGGAGTTGGTGCTGGGCTAGGAGCAGGGGTTGGAGCTGGAGCAGGTGTTGGCACTGGATTAGGAGCAGGACTTGGAGCAGGAGTTGGTGCTGGCGTAGGAGCAGGAGTTGGTGCTGGAATAGGCGCAGGAGCTGGAGCTGGTGTAGGAGCAGGAGCTGGAATTGGTGCTGGAGCAGGTGTTGGAGCTGGAGCAGGTGTCGGCGCTGGCGCAGGGGCTGGTGTAGGTGCAGGAGTTGGTGCTGGCTTAGGAGCAGGTCTTGGAGCTGGAGTAGGACTTGGTGCTGGAGCAGGAGCAGGCCTTGGTGCAGGCCTAGGAGCAGGTCTTGGGGCTGGCTTAGGAGCAGGTCTTGGTGCTGGAGCAGGACTTGGTGCTGGCTTAGGAGCAGGTGCTGCAGCAGGAGCTGGAGCAGGTCTTGGCGCTGGCTTAGGAGCAGGTCTTGGCGCTGGTGTAGGAGCAGGAGTTGGTGCTGGGCTAGGAGCAGGGGCTGGAGGGGGCTGGAGCAGGGGCTGGAGCAGGAGTTGGTGCTGGCTTAGGAGCAGGTGTTGGAGCTGGAGCAGGAGTTGGTGCTGGCTTAGGAGCAGGTGCTGGAGCTGGAGCTGGTGTCGGTGCTGGCGCAGGGGCTGGTTTGGGTGCAGGAGTTGGTGCTGGCTTAGGAGCAGGTCTTGGAGCCGGAGCAGGACTGGGTGCTGGAGCAGGAGCAGGTCTTGGGGCTGGCTTAGGAGCAGGTGTTGGTGCTGGAGCAGGAGCAGGCCTTGGTGCTGGAGCTGGAGCAGGTCTTGGTGCTGGAGCAGGTGTAGGCGCTGGCTTAGGAGCAGGTCTTGGTGCCGGCTTAGGAGCAGGACTTGGTGCTGGAGCAGGTCTTGGTGCTGGCTTAGGTGCAGGTCTTGGTGCTGGCTTAGGTGCAGGTCTTGGTGCTGGAGCAGGTCTTGGGGCTGGCTTAGGAGCAGGTCTTGGTGCTGGCTTAGGTGCAGGTGTTGGTGCTGGAGCAGGGCTTGGGGCTGGCTTAGGAGCAGGTGTTGGAGCTGGAGCAGGCGCAGGACTTGGTGCTGGAGCTGGAGCAGGAGCAGGACTTGGTGCTGGAGCTGGAGCAGGTCTTGGCGCTGGAGCAGGAGCAGGTCTTGGCGCTGGCCTAGGAGCAGGTCTTGGCGCCGGCTTAGGAGCAGGAGCTGGTGTTGGCGCAGGTGCTGGTGCTGGAGTAGGCGCTGGCTTAGGAGCAGGTCTTGGTGCTGGCTTAGGTGCAGGTGTTGGTGCTGGAGCAGGGCTTGGGGCTGGCCTAGGAGCAGGAATTGGTGCTGCCTTAGGATTAGGTGCTGGAGCTGGAATTGGCTCAGGTGCAGGGGCTCCCTATTTCCAATACCTGGCTCGACGTTTAGGATATAATTTAGGAGGTTTTGGTGCTGGCTTAGGATCAGGACTTGGTGCTGGAGCAGGTCTTGGTGCTGGAGCAGGTCTGGGTGCCGGAGCAGGTCTTGGTGCCGGAGCAGGAGTTGGCGCTGGCTTAGGAGCAGGAGTTGGTGCTGGAGCAGGTGTAGGCGCTGGCTTAGGAGCAGGTCTTGGTGCTGGCTTAGGAGCAGGTCTTGGTGCTGGCTTAGGAGCAGGTCTTGGTGCTGGAGCAGGAGCAGGACTTGGTGCCGGAGCAGGAGTTGGTGCTGGAGCAGGTGTTGGCGCTGGCTTAGGAGCAGGTCTTGGTGCCGGAGCAGGAGTTGGCGCTGGCTTAGGAGCAGGTGTTGGTGCTGGAGCAGGTGTTGGTGCTGGCTTAGGTGCAGGTCTTGGTGCTGGTATAGGTGCAGGTGTTGGTGCTGGAGCAGGAGCAGGACTTGGTGCCGGAGCAGGAGTTGGTGCTGGAGCAGGTGTTGGTGCTGGCTTAGGAGCAGGTCTTGGTGCCGGAGCAGGAGTTGGCGCTGGCTTAGGAGCAGGAGTTGGTGCTGGAGCAGGTGTTGGTTCTGGCTTAGGAGCAGGTCTTGGTGCCGGAGCAGGAGTTGGCGCTGGCTTAGGAGCAGGTGTTGGTGCTGGAGCAGGTGTTGGCGCTGGCTTAGGTGCAGGTCTTGGTGCTGGTATAGGTGCAGGTGTTGGTGCTGGAGCAGGAGCAGGACTTGGTGCCGGAGCAGGAGTTGGTGCTGGAGCAGGTGTTGGTGCTGGCTTAGGAGCAGGTCTTGGTGCTGGAGCAGGAGTTGGTGCTGGCTTAGGAGCAGGTCTTGGTGCCGGAGCAGGAGTTGGCGCTGGCTTAGGAGCAGGAGTTGGTGCTGGAGCAGGTGTTGGCGCTGGCTTAGGTGCAGGTCTTGGTGCTGGTGCAGGACTTGGTGCTGGGTTAGGAGCAGGTCTTGGTGCCGGAGCAGGAGTTGGCGCTGGCTTAGGAGCAGCAGCTGGTGCTGGAGCAGGAGTTGGTGCTGGCATAGGAGCAGGAGTTGGCGCTGGCTTAGGAGCAGGAGTTGGTGCTGGAGCAGGTGTTGGCGCTGGCTTAGGTGCAGGTCTTGGTGCTGGTGCAGGACTTGGTGCTGGGTTAGGAGCAGGTCTTGGTGCCGGAGCAGGAGTTGGCGCTGGCTTAGGAGCAGGAGCTGGTGCTGGAGCAGGAGTTGGTGCTGGCGTAGGAGCAGGAGTTGGTGCTGGAATAGGCGCAGGAGCTGGAGCTGGTGTAGGAGCAGGAGCTGGAGTTGGTGCTGGTAGTGTCTTGGAAAGTTATTGTAGACAGTTGATAGAAAATTGATAATGGAAGTTGTGTGTTATAATATTACGATGCTTTTTGTATCAATTTTATAATTTTTGTTATTATTTGGATATCGTTGGGTGTTTAATTTCGTTTTTTTTTTAATTTAAAATACTCATTTGTCTAGAATATCTTGTTGTTTCTCTATATATTTTGTCTAAGTTTTAATTTCTTGCATTCGGTGCTGTGTTTATATATTACTAAAAAAATAAAACTGTTTGAAATGCTCTTTTATCTACATTTAAATTAAAGCTAAATGCCTTTATATTGTAAAAGTTGTCATATGCAAAATAAAGTCAATTATTTTCCTTCTTTGTCTGTATTTCATTAAAAATTTTTTTTCACTGATACTGTTAAAAGAAAATATTCCGACAACTGTCTGAAGAGTTCTAAATTGTCTAAAATGATTCATAATTTGCAAAAACTCTGAAATTTCAAAGTATGTTGAGAATATTTGTTTTTATCTTTTAGATAAAATGTGTGGATAATGTCCACAATGTCAAACAATACCCTCCTTCAGGTTTCGATCCTTTACATTCAGGCATTGATCGTTACTCATTACGTCAGGAAACGATCATTAGTTCCAAGAACCTAAAAAACATCCATGTATAAACTTATAATATTTTTACAATTCAAAATGAGAATGTTTTTTAGAATCATCACTTTTAACTCCAACAAAATCATGTAATAAACATTTGGATAAATTCTAAAATGTTTAATTTTACTGTCAGATTAAAATATTTGTTACTTTACTCTCAAACCAACACATTTTATGTGCCAAAATCCTAAGAGTGTGTAGAAAGATTTTCTTAAAAATGTCCCCTCTTTCCAGGAAACATATTATTCACAAGATTTGAAATTTAATCTTTTAATGCAGGCTATAAAGACTAATTTTTTATGCACTGAAGCCGTTTAGCCAGCTATTCAAACAGCAGGAAGGAGAAAAACAAATCAACAAAGTCTATCATTTCCTGGTCCTTATATTAAGTACGAAATTTTAAATCTCTATAGCAAACTAGATTTTTCAAGAGGTTTACATATTCATGATTATGCACCCCACAATTTTTTATAGCTTACATCTCTTTAGGTAGTAATAGGTAGTAATAAACAGCACAGGCAAGAAATGCATGTTGCAAGCAGCAATCGAAGTAGGGAAAAAAGGACTGCGCAATAGTAGCAGTGGGATTTATTTATATGCTTGATTTCTCTGTTTAAATTTTGGATATGCAATCTTTAAATTTTAAAAATTAAAGGCTTTCACAAATTTTTCGATTATCATACTTTTTTCACAATCCTATGACTTTATTTAGTTATTAGACAGATGAATAATAATAAAAAAAATTAGACGTGGCTAGCACATGATCTGCCATCAATTTCATGTTTTAAATAGCAGTGGGCTTTAAGTGAAGTTTCTCTTCCGGCTGATTGTTTGTAATAAAAAATTAATTTGTTTTTCCAGTAAACAGAAAGGTCTGTAATACGAAATTCTAAATTATAATTTATTCATCCAAATTTTTGCACAGCACGTTTAATTAGCCATGTGTAAAATCTGCTATAACATGTAATTGTGCACTGCTAGGACTGCTATAACATGTAGCTGCGCCCATCTCTTTTTGGTTGCAATCGGCTGCGCAATATATATATATATATATTTTTTTTGCGCAGCGAGGAACAGCCTTATCAGCTTGTTTCATATGTTAATGGAATTTCGCTTATTGAATTCATGGAACGTGGTACGGCAATCAGTTCTGAAGTGTGCTGTAACACTTTGAGAAAACTAAAGAACCGTCTAGAACAAACGTCTGCTGACATCTAGAGTCGTGTGGCTACACGATATCGCCGTCGCTCACAGTGATCAATGAACACATTGAATTCCTCTTCCATTATGTTCTTTTTCTTCAAATTTTATTGATTTTTTTAATTGGGGTATTGTTTGTTTAAAGAGTTTGGTTTTAAAATTTATTAAATTCTTTATTGCATTTAATAGGATTATTTGAAATTTATTACTTATGAATTTCAGTGTTTGGTCTTTGCGTAAATTTGGTTTAAATTTCTTACTCATGTCTTTCCTGATAATTTTTCAGCAGTTTATTCAGCAAAAATTCTAGACATGATTATATTTTGTTTTTAAAAAATTATTTTGTAATTATGTATATGTAAACACATTTGAGCACAATCGATGCATCTCAGTTGCTATCAGGTGAACTAGTGAATAAAGTATATTATTATTGACTTGAATTTAAAATTAGCTACTCTGTTGATTTCATATAACGATACTGACCTATTTACTGTCGTTCCAATAGATACATACACTCTGCAAATGAATCTAAAGCTCTTAGTGTGAAAAGTTTATAGAGCGTCTCATTTCTTAATTTGACATATGGCATGCCGGAGGGATCGATCTCCTCATGGTTATTTTCTTTGGGAGATTACTTAAAAATTCTAAATATAGCTCAGCAGATAACTGAGGAACAAACAATTTCTGTTCGCAAAGTGATGGCGGTCATATTGGAGGTAATGACATGATGCGCATTATAGAGCTTCTGCATGAGACTGTGTATAATTTAATGAAGGGCAAGAATTTAGAAGCAAAATGATGACAAAATGAGAAGCCTTGCTTTATACAAAGGTAAAATAAATTTGCAATACAATTTATATTGGCTTTTCTTTTCTGCTTTAAATAAGAAAATATTTCAACCGGATTCCATATTGTTCCGAGGTTTGTACGTACGTAAATAATTTTAGAAAAATTACATGTGAAACTGCAGTCGATTTTTAAAATGTAACATGAAAAGCTGAAAAGAGACGAAGCTCTGTCGGAAAAATAAGATAAAAGGGGCAAGTATATTTAGCATTCAGTAAAAAGCTATGTCGCGAAACTGCACAGATATCGCCAAGGTGGAATGGTTTTGACAACTAAAATTTATCGGGAAATTTCGTGACAAATCGCAATCACTTGGTGACATTTTGGTGCAGTGCTTGTATAACTATAATTGGTTCTGTATTTGAATATTTGTATTGGACCCTATACGTAATTATAACTGTATATCCCTTTCAGTAGTTTCGAGAAATGGAAGGTACTAAAGATTTCTCGGAGGCCGGTCAAATTCGTTTTTAATTATGAGCACCACAAGCGATGCATCTCAGTTGCTATCACGGTGAACAAGTGAATAACGTGTATTGGTGTTGACTTGAATTTAAAATTAGTGACTCTGTTGATTGCATATAACGATACTGACCTATTTAATAATGTTCCAATAAATACAGTTATAAGGTATTTCTCCCGCCTTCTTAGCATGCCTTTGTAGTGGTCTGCACGTTGGGCGCATATTCCAGAGGTCTGTGGTTGGATTTCCGGCGAAGCCGCTGCTCATTTTCCATCTTTCTTGCTTTCAAAAATGCTACTATCTCTACAGGGACGCCCAATGAAAAGGGTGGCGGATAATGATTCTCTACACCCAGGATTTGGCGATTGGGTCCCCTAAAACCCCAGTCGCCATTTCTTCTTCTGATATATGGAATTGCGGAGGGATCGATCTCTTCTTGATTACTTTTTCTTTGGGAGATTACTTGAAAATTCTAGATATAGCTCAGCAGATGACTGAGCTATATCTAGATATTTCTTTTTGCAAAAAGCGATGGCGGTAATATTGGAGATGTATTATAAAGCTTTTGCGTAAGATTTTAACAGGGTATAATTTAGTGAAGGGCAAGAATTTAATAAATAAGTAAAATGATGACAAAATGAGAAGCATTGCTTTATACAAAGGTACGAGTTTTGTACATATGTAAATTGTTTTAGTAAAATTACATGTCAAACTGCAGTCATTTTTGTAAAATGTAACATGAAAAGCTGAAAAGAGACGAAGCTCTATCGGGAAAATAAGATAACAGGGGCAAGTCTATTTAACATTGAGTAAAACGCTATCTCGCGAAACTACACAGATATCGCCAAGGTGAGAATGGTTTTGGCAACTACAATTTATCGGGAAATTTGGCGACAAATCGCAAATGTCGACAAGCCTGGCAACCACTTGGTGCAGTTCTTGTATAACTATAATTGGTACTGTAACTGAAAAATTTGTAATGGACCCTATGTAACCGCATCCGGCCCCTATACGTAACTTTAACTGTGTATGCCTTTCAGTAGTATTGAGAAATGGAAGGCACTAAAGATTTCTCGGCGGCTGGTCAAAAATTATATAAGACCGGAGAGAGTATTAGTTTCTCAGTTGTTTAGTTCAGTGTGAGTTCGGAGTATTGTGAGGTGACTGTAAAAGCTTTGCCTTCTTATATGCGTTTTGCATTGAACTGTGTTAATGTTCTATGAAGTTCTAACTGTAACTAATGATTGAACTCTAGGATACTGAAAAGAGCTATACGAGTATTTTTGTGGACAGTTTCAGAACTTTAAAGTGTTCCTTTTGGTAAAAATAAATTTTATCAACCTATCATTTTGTGCTGTACGCATTCAATTCTTTACGAACCCGTACGCACGCAATAATCTTTTGATTGGTTAGTTAGTTAATTAATTATAAGAAAGCCTTCAAAAGCTGTGCACCTAAGCTGAGGGCAAATTCGGGAAGTGTTTTCAGGTTTCTAATTTTATTAAACCTTGCGGAAACTCCATGCACGTAACACCCAACACATGAGGCTGGAGTACTGTTAGGTTAGGTTATTAGAATAAGCATACGAGGACTGTTAGGTTAGGGAATTCAAAAAGTACACGAGGGATACATGTGGGTCTATATTCGAGTTCTACATGCCTATACTTCATGGAGGACTGATAAGAGAAAGTGACTCGTTTTCACATTACACATAGGGTAAACTTAGAAAACTAAGCATACTGCCAGCCTGTTCGTTTAGCTTCGTTGGTACTTAGGTTGATTGGGCAAACAGATGGGACTAAGGCTGAAGTATAAGCCTCAGATAAACCTAGGATGATTGACAGGAAATTTATTTCCTCATTTTCCAGTTTTATATATCAGGTACGTAATGATTTCTAGGTTGTAGAAATAAGTTAAAATGGGCTATGTAAATAACAAGTATAGGAAGGAAGTGAAGATTATAAAGCTGGTAATCCAACTCTGACTAATGACAGTGAACTTTTAACCGTTCTTCCTACTACGTATGTTAATTGATAATTTATACCCTCTTGATGGCTAGGATAAAATGATAGCTTTACTGTTTTATCTTTAGAAGAGAGTTTCAAAAATGTTATTATCAAAGAAATTCACTGTTTTTATGTTTAATCTTGTTTAACGGAAGTCATAAGTACGTAAGCATATCCAAATGTTTCTGCCCTGATATACAT